AACTCGGCAGATTTGTCGGCGCTCCTTGGGAGGAACACCGTGATGTTGTGCACCGGAGGGATATCGTCCCCTCTCTTCGTGCACATCCCGGGTCCCTTCCAGCCCTCAAGTGCTGGTGCCTTCTCAGCCAGCCAGGTTGCTGTTTTCTCGTCCCTGCAATCAACGAGAAGCATACCGGACCTGAAATACACCCCGCAGAAAACCAGCGGGTGCGACCAACCTTTGAATACCTCTTCCATGATGGCATCTTGGAGTCTGGTTAGGTCCTCTGGGCTCAAGGCAGCAGCAGGGTACTCACACGGTAGCACCGCTACCCGGATGCCTTTGAGGGTCTCCGAGTAACTGGGCTGCTGAGTGGCGCTCTCCTGCACCTGTCCCTGCCCGGCCGGCCCAGCCAGGCTCTTAGGCCATGAAGTCGGAGTAGGTGGCTGATCCCGCTGCCGTTTGGTGCTAGGTGTCTCAGGCGTAGTGATTTGGTTGCTCCCTCTCTTGACTGCGTCCCCTTTGTTATAGCCAGGGGGTTCCCCGCTTCTCCGCCATCCGGCGGGCGCGGGTCTGTGCTGCTGTTGTTGCTGTGGCCCGCTTCTCTGCTTTGCAGCAGGCGCGGGTAAGTGTGCCTGTTTATTGGGCCCGCTCTTCCACCTATCGGCAGGTGCGGGTTTGTTGCCTTTGCTGCTACGCTCATTCTCGACCTCCATTCTGACGCAGGCCATGGCCCTGGCCTCAACTGGGGGCTCGCCCTGTTCCAGGTACCGGAGGTACCACTTGACCCCGGAGCCGCTCAAACCTTCGCGGTGTCGGTCGTCCAGAGCCCCTGGCTGACCTGGCAGAGGCATCGGAGGAGGTTTGGCCCTGCGGTTTTTCTTCCTCCTCTGCTTCTGCCATCCAGACTCGTCAGATGTAGCGGAGGCGTTGCTGCTGCGGGACCTGTGTCTACCTTTCCCCTTCCGGTGACCGCTGTCAGAGCGACGCCGACTCTTTGAGCGCTCCCGGCTTTTTGAGCGGTGACGACTCTTTGAGCGCTCCCGGCTCTTTGAGCGGTGACGACTCTTAGAGCGGCGCCGACTGCTTGAGCGATGCCGACTATTGGAGCGGTGACTGCCCTCGGTACGGTGGCTGCTTTCTGATCTCGCTGTTCCTGTGTGCCTGTAAAGAGAACTGCCTGACCGGTGTTGCGGCCGATCTAATTCGGCAGATGAATCATACAAATCTAACACATCTTGATTTGCGAAAGTACCTTTTTTGCCCCGTGCCTTGCCACAGGACGCCTCTGCACTGGTGCCTGGACGTTCGTCATCCCTCGCATGCTCAATGAACAGCGATGCTTCCTCTGCTGTCAGCTTGTCCAAGAAGCTGCTCTTGCGCTTGGCGCTCTTAGAGCCTTCTAGCGTGCTGCTGCTTGGCGTTGCTGGTGTACCTGTAGCTTTTGCTATTATTACAGCTGATGCCGTTATGCCCACCGCCGCTGGTGGCGCGGGTGCTGTGGTAGATGTTGTTGTTGTTGTAGCTGTAGTTGCTGTTGTTGTTTTGTTTTTCTGGTTTTTTTTGTTGTTTTTTGTTTGTTGTTGTGATCATCTTTTTCGTACGACCGCCTGCTGGAGGCTGCCGCATCCGCGTTACCTCAGACCAGAAGAAGACCGGTTGGAGATTCAGCTAAGCCCCCGCACCAACGGCAAGGTGCCTGCCCTCGCGAGGGGAGATCATACATATTCTGAGGTATCACACAATATAAATATTAACACGAATCTTCTCTCAAACATGAAAATTCACTTAATCCTGAGACACTTTTAAATTAATGAAAATTAAAAAAGCACAACATGAAACTTAAGGTTAGTTTATCTTTAAGGACCACCAATTTTGCGATATATTTGATTCTATTCGCTTGCTTTGTATTACTTCGCAGTTAATAAAAAAGTACTCGACAAAAAAAAAAACAGCGATTAGCTTTCTATATGAAAATGAATTCGGCAGTATTTTTTTTTTTAATGCAATGTAACAGTCCAAAATATCAAAAAGTTTCTTGGCGCGGAATCCAAGACTAAAAGCCATTTAAAAACCTAATCATAGTCTACACGCATGTATATCGCACAGGTAACGTAACAGTATTGACCTCAAAATTAATTTTATCAGTTCAATAAATACGTAGTTCTTGAATTATATAAGGGACTTTTTCGATAATATAAAGCAGCTTTAAAAAGTAGTTCCAAAAATTGTAATGTAACAGTCCGCTGTTGACACATTTATTATTATTCATTATATTTTAGGTATATCATCATCATCATTGNTGACCTCAAAATTAATTTTATCAGTTCAATAAATACGTAGTTCTTGAATTATATAAGGGACTTTTTCGATAATATAAAGCAGCTTTAAAAAGTAGTTCCAAAAATTGTAATGTAACAGTCCGCTGTTGACACATTTATTATTATTCATTATATTTTAGGTATATCATCATCATCATTGTATATAAATAGGCAATCATGTTTCCTTTACACCCCTTTTGCGGCTAAACTATACCTCTAAGGTATAAACAATTATGTATAATTAGAAAGGTATTTTGATGCTGATGTCCAGGCAATTTTTCAAATTTCAAATTAGTTTAATATAAAGCGAAAAAATCAATTCAAAAGTGACACCAATACTAATCCGTACATGTACATGGTTGGGGCGGAAATGCCTCCTAAATGTATGCTTTAATATTGATACTGAATTACAGAAACGTGCTAAGCAGCAGTTTAGGAATAAGATGTATGTATGTATGTACATGAACAGATTAGACCCAAACAAGGAAGAAGGTAAAGTTGAGTATGGAGAAGAAGAAATGGATAAATACAGAAATTAAAATAAAAGTACAGAAACCTAAATATAAAGACAAAGAGGGAGGAAAATTTAAATACCTAACCTAATAACAATGGTGGGGGTGAATATGTAAATGAAGAAAAGAATGGACATATTTAGATCAGGATAAAGGAAAAGATAAAGATGAAGAAGAAGATGAAGACCAAGACGAGGAAGAAGATGAAGATGAAGAAGAAGGTGAAGACCAAGACGAGGAAGAAGATGAAGATGATGAAGATGATGAAGAAGATGAAGATGAAGATGAAGATGAAGATGAAGATGAAGATGAAGATGAAGATGAAGATGAAGACGAAGATGAAGATGAAGATAAGGGTAAAGATTATAACCCTTAACTTAACTTAACTCACCTCAACTCATCCCACCTCCACTTAAAAACGTACTCCACCTGAGATCACCACACCTTAACCCCACACCTAAATCCACCACTACTTCCCTCCCTACACCAAAATTCACCACACATCAACTCACCACACCTAACCTTCCTCACCTAAATCCACCACACCTCTTAAGCGTACCACACCTGAATTCACAACACCGTAACTCCCACACCCACCGCACCGTAACTCCACCAAACCGCAACTCACCACACCCAATTTCACCACATGACATGATATCACTTGATGTGGCATCAATGATATCATTTGGCACAAAGTGAACCAAAATAAACAAGATTTTTAATCTTATATAACGAAATATAAGATAATAGCGGCGTTCATATAAATTGATAAACTTCGGATAAACGAGATAAAATGATAATTAAATCAGTTTATCACTTTTGATGAAGACCCCGAATATATTGCAATATAATGATGTTTCCATATGTTTTTTGGTTTTTGGTATCTTATCTTATATACATATGGGCAAACATGTTTTCTTTACACCCCTTTTACGGCTAAACTATACCTTAAACGTATAAACAATTATGTATCATTAGAAAGGTATTTTGATGCTGATGTGCAGACAATTTTTAAAATTTCAAATTGGTTTAACATAAACCGAAAAAAAACTATTGAAAAGTGACACCAATACTATTGCCGCACATGTACATGCTTGGGGCGGAAATGCCCCCTAAATGTATGCTGTAATATTGATACTGAATTAAAGAAATCTGTCAAGCAGCAGTTTCGGAATCAGATTTATGAAGATTAAGATTCATGCAAGGAAGAAGGTAAAGTTGAATATGTAGAAGAAGAAAGGGATAAAAGCAAAGATTAGAATAACAGTAAAGAAACCCAAATATAAACGAAGGTGAATATGAAGATGAAGATGAACATGAACATGAACATGAACTTGAACATGAACATGAAGGTGAAGATAAACATAAACATTAAAAGCGATAGAGATAGAGAGGAAGAAAGTGATAGGGATAAAAAGGAAATACAACTGAAGAATGTGCTAGGTTATATTGTGGTGTGTTATGCTACATATGTTATTTAATCTTATGTTATGGTATGTTATGTTATGCGAATTGCTAAGCTAAACTCCCCTCCACTTAACCCATTCCAACTAATGTTATTTCAGCTCAACTCAACTCATATAATCAAATCAGCTCTCATTGCGTGTGATGTTAATAGCAATAGTGAAATTTATCTAGTTGATAGCTTTTTAAGTATAGATCTCATGCAAATTAATTGTTTTCCCAATAAACTTGGTCGCACTTTAGACTTGATATTTTTAAGTACAACTGTAAATTTTTCTTTACAGGAGTGTAATTTTCACATAACTAAAACAGACATGCACCATGTACGTCTAGTTGTTGATTTTGAATTTTATAAATTTTCTAAACTTAGCAATGCTAATTCTAGCTTATCATTTAACTTTAAGCAATGCGATTTTTTGAAATTGAATGGTCTTTTGTTGGATGTCAACTGGGATAACTTGTTTCACCACTGTAATGTCTCGGAGTGTTTCGAGAAGTACTGTTGTAGAAATTTGCAAATGTACTCTTCCAGAATTAACAAAAAAGCATTACAAGGTACCATGGCACAATGCGGCTTTAATGAGACTACGAAATAAGAAAAACAAGTTTCTTCGTAAGTTCAAAAAAAGTCATAATAATGTTTACTTCGGCCTGT